GATAAGAATATCATGCGAGACGGTATCAAATGCCTTACTAAGTATGCAACTCAATGGTATCTGTCTGTCTGTACTGTGATAATTTTTGAAAACCAGAAAAGCCATCAGTAAGAAAACCAGAAAACCCTGATTTCCACTGGTGTGAGAGGAAAATCAGGCACAAAGAGTGCCCATTTGGTGCTGCAGGCACAGCAATTTTTCTGGTGTACCCTGTTGCTGCCTACACACATCACAGACAAAATGTGCAACTGCCTAGTCTATTGTCCTGTAAGAAATGGAACAAATTCTTGGAGCAAAAAGAATATGTTACAGTATACTAACATAGTCTTCAAAAAATGGCTACAGACATGAGTGCATTTCCTGGCTTCCATTCTTTCCAAAATTACCTGTGGATGCACATAAATCAAAAGTATGTATGCTTATACCTTATAAAATGTTTTACTGCATAAATTTCTCATTCTTTCACATAACAGATGAACAAAGGGAATGGAAATGTTTTATGAATTGGGCTCTTAAATTGCTTACTTTCTTTGTTAAACCTTGATGTTTTTGCATACTGTGTATTAGAGAAGTATGCAAACATTTTCTTATAGGGGAAAATTCTAATTTCCTTTTAAAAACTGGCAACCTTATGACTCAAAAACATGATAAAACATCACAGTCTATTTCTAAATGCTTTGCATTTTAATATGGTTGAAGTTAAGGCAGTAAGCAATTTCAGAGATTTTCCCTTGAGCTGTGTAGTTCTTTTCATATGTAATTATTCTCTGAGTGCATTAGATAATGCTATGGTTCCCACAGCTGTATACACATCTATAAATCATTAATGAGGCAGTTAACTGAAACAAAACTATAAAAGATTTGCATTACCCGGCAGAACCCAGCCTTAATTGACTTCCAGTTATTTACAATTAATTTTTCCATTTGGAATAATGATTGCAAGTAACTTCGTTGTTTTTTTATTGCTTAAGAATTAGATGCTGTCTATTCATCAAAAGTTTTTACAACAAAACTCTGTCAGCAACAAGCCTGAGGTAAACTTATTTTATAGACAGTATGCACATTTGTGCACACACTGATATATATAAACAGCGTATTAAAATAATTGTGTGAAAACAGTGAGTTGGGGTAAAGTGGTAGTCCAATTTAACATTTTTTAAAATCACATTCCTAAATTAAACATTATTTTAATTTCATTTTCTACAATAGGTATATGAAAGGAAAAGTTATGGATGAAAATGTGTGTATGGTAGATAGACAAGGTGGATGAGGCAATATTTTTTCTTGGACCAACTTCTATTCATGAGAGAGACAAGCTTTAGAGCTTACACAGAGCTCTTCCTCAGGTCCTGAAGGAGAGTCTTCTTCAGGTCTCTTCCTCAGTTCCTCTGTAAGCTCAAAAGCTTGTCTCTCTCACCAACAGAAGCTGGGCCAATAAAAGCTATTACCTCATCTGCCTTGTGTGTTTAATATTCTGGGACCAATATGGCTACAACAATATTGAATGGTAAATGACAGACTAAACCATGTGCGTTAGGAATGAGCAAATGCATATTTATTCATATGCATTATTTTAGTCTTTTTCCCCCCTTAGGCTGTAATTTAGACATTAGGGCATAAATGCTCCAAAGTCTATAAAGTTAATGTGTGTTTTGTTACTCTCCTTTAGAATAGCATATACATGAATCTAATATATATTGTAAATCTTTGCAGATCTTTGACTCAATAATCTAGGATGCCAGTGTCTGGTAGACATGTATAACTAAAAGACCTTTTCTCCCTGCTATACATGCATGACTCTGATTGACACTAATGGTTTTGTATGTATTTATCAAGAAGGAAAAGACCTTTAAGTCATGTGTTGAAACTTCTAATGAAACTTAAGGTGAAAAAAGATGCACAGCAGCTGACTTTAAACTTCATCAGCTCAGCTGGGTTTTAATTTTCCAAACAGCCAAGTAATTCGGCCATATTAAGAGTAACTGCTGGCCAATTTTCAGTAAGTGGTTTAATAAGTCCCTCGAAATACACTGGGATCTGATGAATGTATAGCATTGGCCTTGGAAGCCTGTGCTCCCCTCCGTGCCTGCCTAAATGAACCACTTCCTTATTTCTCCAATCTACCCCAGGTAAGAGTGCAAAGCAAAAAAAAAAAAGTTTTTTCTGGGGTTCAAGTAGAATGCAGAGGGATTTCCCAGGAGGAAAAATGACTACATTTCTTTTTCTAAAAAATTTAAATAACATTTTTGTCCTTGTCTTGTATTTAAGGCTCCCTCCCTCCATGCTCAGTGAATAAGTGTGACACAAAACTAATGGATCTGGAATGGAAATTGGAAACATAGTGAATAAGGGAAAGTGCTGTCATAGTGAGAACTAAGATTTATACTTTGGGTAGACTGGGAGACGTAGTTGCACTGGTAAGTATCAGAAAACTTAATGCTGAGTGATGTTAAGGCTAATGGTTGACTTCTTAGCCTTACCAATAAGTGCCAGCTAAAGGTCACTATAGTTGTTGCTGTTCAGCTTTTGCAGATCAATCAGACACTTGTAACCTTGAAAAATCTCTCCATCTACTACAGAAGTAATTTTTTTTTTAGGTTGTGTCAAGTTATGTTCCATTGGATCATGTTACAATTTGTAATGTAAAATAACATGACAAGCCTAGACATGGGTCATTCAGTCTGTCAGTAATTCAGATGCTGGCAAATTGGTCCTCCCTCTTCACCAGTCCATGAACTTCACAGATACTTAACTTCTTCATGCTATGCTAGCTCACCACATTATTTTATCTGGGAAAGCTACTAAGTTATGTGAAGTCAGAGAGGCTTTGCCAGCTGAAATTGTGGTGTCACCTGATGGGGGAAACAGCTTTGTTATTTGCACTAATACATTGCATACTTTAATGTGGACAATAAATTTATGAATAGTAACCACATAATGCAATACAAACTGTATAATATAAATTCAGATTTATATTATGTATCCATGGTTTCGTATGAATAGCATCATTTTTCAATTGGACTTAATTTTCTAAGTATGTTTTTACTCTTGTGTCTCAGATCTACTTGTTTTATGTAAGTCTGTGACGTTGTCTGCTTTTCTTTGCTTCATGAGGCAATTTTTGAATATTTCTATAACCCGTGATTTCACCAACTTCAGGCAAGTCCTAAGTTTGTGACTCCTCTTTGTCCCAGACAGCGTGCACGCACATATGCACTCGCAACTAAAATGAATCAATCCAGATGTAAGCAGAGTCTGAATGAGCTCTCCCCTGACATCTAGTGGTGAGCTGTGGAAGAAGATTTCAGGAGCTTATCTCATTTGCATGGACACACCCACCCTGCCTAGGTGCTCAGCATAATGGGATTGCTCGCCCAAATGATCACTTGTGGCTGGTGTTGGATCCCCAGTCTCCTTGTTATTGGGGCAGGAGTTATCCTTGTGGTGTGAACCGAGATCAGCAAAACTGTACCTGGCCTACCCCGATGGAGGGACTTACCCTCAACTCAATGGCACTCGCTAGGCAAGGGACATGGGTTCCAAAGCCCAATGAGTTTAGAAAGGGTGGGAACAGGTACTTGTATCTAGTGGAATGGACCATGAACACCAGTTAATCCTCTCTCCATGATAATAAAAGCTAATTTAAACTCAATTGGGCGTCTTGTTACATGCTGCAGAGCTGAAATCACTGATACCTAGGTCTAAGTATTACATACATCTGACGAAGTGGGCATTCACCTATGAAAGCTTATGCTCCAATACATCTGTTAGTCTTAAAGGTGCCACATGACTCTCTGTTGCTTTTTACAGATCCAGACTAACACAGCTACCCCTCTTATACTTTGGGACAGTGTCTCTATTGCAAGAGATTGGCCAGTGTACACCAGCAGTGATGTTCCCCCATTAACAGCTGAAATCACTGAAAGCTGTGTTAAGTGCAGGGGCCCTGAAGATACCTTGGCAAGTGGCCAGACGGGAGGCTGGTGGAAAGGCGTGGCCAGCACGGCGGATGGCTGAGAGGTCCAGTAAGCAGCCATCAGGGTGACTGGTGGAGAGGGCCAGAGCAGAGCCCTACAGAGAGGTGCGACCATCAGCCGTTGGGGCAATGAACAAGTGCCCAAACAGTGGAGTGTGTAAGGTGCCTCCTTACCGCCCGCCCTCTCCACACAGGGTGGGAGGTGAACTCTGCAGATGAGCCTCTGAACTCTGGGGCTACACTGGCCAAGGCGAGCTGGTTTTGTGTTGTATTGTTGAAAAGGAACCTCTGGATACTGAACCCGGCCCTTTTGCTGCTGACTCCACCTGGCAGAATATGTAAATATTACATCTGTGAATTAGAGCTGGTCAGGAAAGCAAACCTTTTAAATTGCTTTTGTGTGTGTGTGTGTGTGTGTGTGTGTGTGTAAAAACAAACTATTTTTCAGTGAAAATAGATTTTTGTACAAATTTCCATTTAGCTTAAAACCAATTTTCAACCTGTTGTACTACACATCAGAAATCTCAGTCCTGCAATGTTTTCATCACATCAGCACGTCAGTTCACCCACCTTGTTTTTGTTTCAGTTATTCCAAATTACTATTTAGTAGAGCTTCATAAACTTTGGAGGAAAAACTGGCCTAAATCTCTGGAATTGTCTCATTTGTTAACTATAAATTCTCTTAGAATTGCTGGAGCTATTGAACAATACAGTGCTCAATGCCCAGGGAAGGTCCATCTTCTAAGCTCCCTTCTCTTCCACTCTGATAAAGACTGAGAAGTATGACAGATGAGTTAAATAAGTATACAGCAATCTCAGTTCAATTAAAGGTAGATTGATAGTATAGATGGCCTTGACCTGTCAATTTCAGTGGTGAAGTTCCCCATCTTGGGTGGGAGGGGGGTGGGAGGGTTTGCTCTTGGGTTTTGGTTCAGTCTCGTCTCTGACTGTTCTAGCAAACCAGATTCATAACAGAATATTGTGCATCTGTATTAGCAGTAGAGACTCAGGCCTCAGATTTAGGGGGAAATATAGGGATTTTGGATTTAAATACAAAGGATGGTCCATCTATATAGGCAGATTCTAGTGTATTTCTAGTAGGGAAAAAACTTCATATTAGGCTGGCAGAGATACTATAATCATAATCATGGAGAATTTATAGGAAAGCCAGAAAGTCCTTATAAGTTTGTGTGCGACTGGGGGAAGGAAAAAGACAGCAATTAGCTTTTAAGGCCAGCACACTCTTCATTTCCCCAGAACTGAACCACTGGCTGAAAGCCAAAGGAAGAAGATGATGCCTTAAAAAGGATTTATTAACCAGAATCTACAAGCTTCAGTTTTATTTTGGCCCAAGCTTAAAGTCCTTACAAAAACAGTGCGTATATCTTCAGGCATATTGCTGGAGCCAAATGTCTGAAAAAAATACTCCAAAAATCACAAGAGACCAACTCTAGTGTGGAGAAATTTTAGTGCATAAATATCAGTTATCATCAGTGACTTAGATAACATCACATAGTGGAAGATATATTAATATCTCATTATATTTCCAATTGCGGCTCAAAGTAATAAAGTTCCTTTTTATTGATAATGAGCCCTGAAGAGAACTTTTATCCTTTATCAGAGAACATAATTTGTTTCCTGTACTCCTCCTACCTCCACTCTCCACATAAAGGATGGGTGGGTAAGATGCCTATGCCAATTGTCCAACAAAATCAGAAGTAGTTTAGGTTATGATGCAACTAGCAACTAGCAATCCAGTTGCATGTACTAAATATAAGGGGTTTTTTTATTATTATTTTCATTGCTTTCACTGAGATGAGAATATAAAATGTCATGTTTCATAATGAGTCAATATTTTATTTAAAATCCTGCATTTCAATTTTTTTCCACAATGGCCTAAGACAGACTTCTGCAGACAGAGCTACAGCTACCTTTTTCAAAAGAGAGGTCTCCTAAATTGACCCCCAGTGGCCTGATTTTCAGAGTTGCTGAGCACTCACAATTCTCTTTTTGCCACAATGAGCGTTGTAGGAGCTCAGTAGGTCTGAAATTCAGGCCAGTTATTTAGACTTATCACATAGTATCTAAGCACCTCACAAACATTAAGTGCATTACGGTTCAGTGGGTAAATATTATTCTTTATCATGGATAAAAAGACTGAAAACAAATTTCATTAAGAAAGAAATGGATATAACTAAAACACTAGGAGGTGTTTAAGAAAATAATTTTTCATTGATGATCACTTTTTATGTTCTTAGGCCCAAATCCTGCACGAAGCCCTAGTAGGTGGTCTGGGGAATGAAAAAGAAGAAGGGAAAGTCTTCTCCATCACAAAGCCATGGAACAGCAGAGGAGGAGCCTACTCCATTATCTTTGGGAGCACTTTTCCTGGGAGTTAGGGGAAGATAGAAGTATCCTGCTGCACAGACAGCCCCGTATACAGCTGGGCTGTATGTCTTGCAAGGGATGCACGCAGGGCCGTCTTTAGGCATACGCAGCTGCGTAGGGCACCCGAAAACTTGGGGCCCCACTGGGTCTTAGTGCCCACTCGCTTCCTAGCCCTCTTCTGACCCTTCCTGCAGGCTCCCACCACAGCTGGCTGTTGCAGCCTGGTGAGTCTTCCTCTGGAGGGGATCTAGTATTTAAAAGTGAAAAAGTCTTCCAGCCTGCCAGACCTATTAGCACAACACTGAAACTGTTAAAGAGCCATTCAAGTGGTAATGAAGTCATTTAACGGGCATTTGCCAACCCCCAGGTATAGACTGTCAGTTTCTGAATTTACTGACAAAAACAGTTGTTCATTACTGTAATATTTACTCAGAACACCTCTACAGGACCTTAGTTTAAAATTTGCTTTAAAAATATTTCATTAGTGTGTTGCTGAAGATTATAAAATCAGATCTCTAAAAAACCCTTGCATAGATTTTTAGATGCACAGTCTGAGTATTCATCTTTAGCCTTAAATGCTTGGATCTTCAGACATATAGTTTTTTAAATAAATCCTTCAAAAGATCACCCTTATCTAAAATACACATGCGAACCGGGTTGCCGTCGGGCATAGGGGCACCAGTTTAATAATACTGCATAGGGCCCAGGCCCCATAAATCCCAAGGTCGGCCCTGGATGCACACCTTCTGAGTGGCTCACATCTGTTGTATAGTAGTAACTCACCAGTTTCTCTCTGAGTGCCCTCTGTATTTGCAAACATTGAACAGGAGTAGCTGCTAAAATTAGGGCATTATTGACTTAGGTTCCTCAGAAGCGCCCATTGATACCAGTGTCAAAACCTATAGTAGACCTATAATGGTCAAGGTTTCAAGCACAGATGCCTGCGTTGCAACACAACACATGCCTGTGCTCGCATAAAGGCACCATTCTCTATTTCCAAAATGCACAACGTATATGTAATATATTCAGAGTGGCCTATATTGTCTTGGCATTTGATTCATTGTTTGTGTGGGGAGGGAGTTTGAAACCAATCAGGTTTGTCAGTTTTCTTGGGAGTTTAACAAACTACATTATATGTAAATATGTTTATTCACCATTTTTGAGTAGCATTTCCTTATTCTAGCAGCTTGTGTACACCCATGCTTTTCTAAAGGAAAGTGTTTGTGCTGTGCATAGCTATAGATTTTAAACTGGGAGTGTTCACTATTGATTCTTATATTATGATTGTTACATTACACAAGAAATATAAATTTATTACATTACTAATAGAAATATGCTGTGCACTAACCTACCTGCTCCAAACCAAGATCCCTTGCATGGACAATTTAAGGAAGACAACACTTAATGGGAAAGCAGTGCTGTCACAGTGACTTAGGGTGACCAGATGTCCTGATTTTATAGGGACAGTCCCGATTTTTGGGTCTTTTTCTTATATA